TGGTCTGAACTCTTCGATCAGGCGGCAAGGCAAGAGGTCGAGGAAAACTTGGAGGAAGACCCTGATCGGGCTTCGGAGGCAGAGGTAGAGGGAGTTGTTGAAGAGCTCGAGGTCAGAGAGGACGTTGTTCCTTCGAACGCCGAGGTGGGGACTTCGGGAGGAGACTTGTGGCCAGACTTCCAAGTTCTACAATCTTTAGACGCCGAGGACGCCCTCGAGGTCGCGATGTCCAGCACGCCTCACATCGACCTGGGGTTCGTGAGGCAGAGGCAAGTCCTCGCTGCCGGGAGGGGTCGAGGATCGACTGGCGGCGCCCCCTCTGCAGGGACCAGTTCCACCCCATCCTCAAGAGTTCTCAGCCGGGGTCAAGTGCGTGACCGGGATCCTCAGGTAGAGGAGGAGAGAAGGGTCAAACATCGGCACGATGGCCTCGGCCGAGGATCCAGGGCACCTTCCGCTCAGCAGCAAAGTGGGAGAGGCCGTGGGTTACCCTCTGCTCCTCCGCAACAGCAGCAACAACAACAGCAACAGCAACGACAACAGCAACATCAGCAGCAGCAGACTCCCCCTTCCCTTCCGCCGACAGTGGAAGCCGCGGAGTGGAATCCCCGAGCGACCGATCACATGAACCGAGTGATCAGGGTCGACGATTCCATTTTGCTGGATCCTCATGTCGCCAATGCAGTGAGTGAGACACTGCATTTCGAGGTTGACATGACGGCTCATAGGAGGCGATCAACCAACGTGTTGTTCCGCTCCATCATCCAGAATTCCCTGGTGGTGAGTTCATTTTTGCTNCCCAAAAAAAAAAAAAAATAAGGCAGCAGGGCAACTTTAAAAAAAGGCATCATACAAATGATAGCTTAAATTTAGCCACATTTTTTTTGTGGTGAGTTTTGTGGCCAGTGACTTACTCTTTCTTTGGCTCACCTTTTCTCCCAAAATATTCTCTTTCTTCTTCTTCTTCTTCTCAAACGTGTTATTGTCTCCTTTCAAATTTCCATGACTTCAATTTTATTGATTTCTAAAGAAACTTTGGTTAAATTTAACAACCATTCTCCATTTTGGCTTGCTTACAATGAAAATGCCAGAATCATATGAGTGAAAAGAATATATATAAAAAAAAATCATAAGAAGAATATGAAGAAAAACTAGCAAAATTGGTTGATGTTGATGACGGTGGTGGTTGTTCTGGACATTAGTTCGATTTTGATGTGAATTAATTTGTGAGAAAGACAACACATCAAAAGAAAAAAACTACCATGAACGCAGAGGTTAAGTTTATTGGAACATACAGCAACACAGGGAGCAAAAGCATATTGAATGCCACAAGCCCTGACTTCAAGAGCAGTAGCAACCCCAATTCTTCGAACCAATTCCGCATCTCTATAACACATCGCATATAATCAGTGCATTGGATCATCGATTCAGCTAACTGAACAACATCTGTCAACTAGGAATAAGATAAATTATATAAATATATAGAACCTGGTGGCTCCGAGACCGATATTGTGCGGAAATATGGTGGCACCATAGACATTGTTGTTACCGTGAACAGCATCGATGCCATAGAGAAGTGGAATACCGAGCCGCGATTCGAGTGCGGCACTTTGAAATCCGTCTACCATGTCAGCCCAATCGGACGATACTGCCTTCTCAAATGGTGCACTGCCTCCCATACTCAGAATACTTCCTGCAAATTAACCAGAAATTCATCTTATAGGCGTATACAGGCACACATAGCTATATATATAGCTGCAGAGAGAGAGAGAGAGTGACCTATTGAGAGGTCTCTAATGGCGGAAGGATTGGTGACAGATTTTTCGATCTGAGTCATCTGACCGAGTTTCTCTTTGAGAGTCATACGTGAAAGGAGGTCCTTGATTCTTGATTCGATCGGCTCGTTTGGGTTCTTGTAAATGCAATCCACCATGTTTTGAACTCCCTTCATTTTCTTCTCTTGGCGCAAACAAACAAGAGACCCAGTTGAATGAGACGATTCAAGTTTCAACCAACTATATTATTGATATGCATGGTTTGATCTTCTTCTCTTCTCGATGATGATACAGCTCAGTGCGTGCTGATCTATCTATTTTTGCAACAATGCGAAGAAAGTAGCGAGGTAGGGAAGGATTGGAGAAGTGCAATAAAATAAATTAGAGTAGTGGGTGGGAAGTGGAAGGACAAGGTTTGTTTCATTGAACTTTAGTACTTCGCTTAGAACATCTCCGTCAGATGTTTCAAATGTCCAAAATAGTCATTTGACTAATCAAAGCTAAAAACAACATTCTAACAAATTATCTTCCTACCCGGTAAAATAGATTTTTGTTATATCACTATAGTAATATGTAAACATAATATATATTATTTTCTCTCTCTTTCTTTTATTTTTTTCATTGTCTCTCTTTCTCCCTTTCATTATTTTCAAAAAATATAATATAAAAGAGATGATAAATAATATTTAAAAGAAGTAATTAAAAATATAAAAAATTTGTTAAAGTGTGTATTGAAAAAATAAATAGCTGAGAGTAACTCTAACGGGAGTACTATGTGGGGGTGGCAAACCCTTAACCTCCAAAATACCACCCCATAATCAAAAAAATTCACTCCAAAGGGGGTGGCATTTGGGTTGGCAAAATGACAATTATGGGTTTGAGGTAACAAATTTGTAAATTTTAGAGAGAGAGAATGGGAGAGGGTTGCAAAAAGTCGTTGAGTTTACTGTTCAAAGAAAGAGAAAGGGGAAGGAAGTGTCTACTTGCCTGAAAATCGTCTTGTGTCACTGGTAAATACTTATCTCATTGACATATTACCTGAAAATCGTTTTGCACCGCTGGTATTTTGGGTGATTTGGTTTAGGAGAAGGGGGTAGGGATTGTATCGCAAGGTAAGGGGAAAGGTTTGCCCAGTGTGAGAAATCGGTGCCTACTATTTATTTGAGGGTAAATGACACATTCTACCCTAAAATTATTTTGTATTGTCATATTACACTATTAATTATTTTGTATTGTCATATTACACCATTAATTTTTTTGTATTTTCATATTGCACTATTTAATTATTTTATATTGTCATATTACACGATTAATTATTTTGTATTGTCATATTACATCATTAATTTTTTTNTAAGGTTGGCGCTGAAAAGCTAAGTGCTGCCCTTGCCGATGCTGAGGGGAGGATTACCGAGCAGACGCGGCGGCTTTCTGCTGCGGAGGAGAAGGCGNTTGTCATATTACACTATTAATTATTTTGTATTGTCATATTACACCATTAATTTTTTTGTATTTTCATATTGCACTATTTAATTATTTTATATTGTCATATTACACGATTAATTATTTTGTATTGTCATATTACATCATTAATTTTTTTGTATTGTTATATTACACCATTAATTTATTATGTTGCTATTATTTATGAAAAACTATGTGTTGAAATTTTAAATTTTTACTATAAAAATATATCTGTTAAATTACGATCGTTATAAAAATTATACCCGTTAAAATATAATTGTTAAGTTTAATTATATNTTCGCCGATGACGTGCTCCCTGCTCTTGAGGAAAACAGTAAGGAGTTCTTCAAGAAAGGGTGGGACGAGGCGCTCCAGTCTGCTGGTATCCCGTCAGACTCCCCGCTCTTCCAGATGCACAAGTACGTGATNAATATAATTGTTAAGTTTAATTATATTTTTTAATAAAAAACATTGAAATATTAAAATAACACCTACCATTGGAACATAAACATTGTTTAAGGGTGTTAAAATATTGTTCAAAGTTGTAAAATGATATTTGACACCCCATTTTTGACAACTCTCCCTNCCCGCTCTTCCAGATGCACAAGTACGTGATCTCGACAGAGATGGAACGGGCCGAAGCAGAGATTGCTGCCGAGGATGAGGTCCCAACGCCGGTGCAAGTCTCGGCGGATCCGCCCGATGCAGTGATAGTGGATTTGTCCGAGGACGCCCTGCCGGACCATGCTCTTGATCCTCAAGTTGCCCAAGGCCTCCCTGGTGCCGAAGTACCTCTCCTGCCCGCTCCAGAAGCTTCTCAACCTTTTTTTGCTGACTCGCTCTCGGCTGATGTTCTGGAGATGCCCGGAGCCAGATGAAAGCTCCTTTTTCTTTTTGATTGTACCCCTTTTATTTTCTTTTGTAGCTTTTGGGGACGCAAAGCCCCTTCTTCTTAAAATAAATCATGAGTATTTTTTCCTTTTTTGCGCACAGTAGTGTTTTGTTTCTTTTTTTTTTTTTGTAACTGTCTTCGGGGCTGCTCNCCACCAGTAGTTGGAATTATATTGATTAAAATATAAGTTAAAATTTGAAAAAAAAAAATTAGTCCCACTCTTTTTAGTTTATCATATCTTTAAAAACACTTTCTCTATCTATATCTATATTTATACTATTTATAAATGTCAGCATCTGTGAAAAACTTTTGATTTCCTATTTAATCCTTAATGTTCCGTTTGGTATGATGAAAAATGAAAATATGTAAAGNCAGTTCGGGGTTTGAAATGAATGTCGTGCTCCCCCAACTCTACTGCCCACTTGGAAATCCTTCCGGAGAGTTCCGCTTTCCTCAAGATTGCTTTCAAGGGCTGATCGGTAAGGACAGTGATTGGGTGCGCCTGAAAATAATGCCGCAGTTTCCTTGTAGTGGTGACCAGGGATAGAGCCAGTTTCTCTAGGGGTAGATATCTTGTATCTGCGTCCAAGAGCGCCTTGCTTATATAGTAAATCAGCTTCTGGTGGTGCTCATGCNAGGAAGGATAGAAAAGTGGATGAATTAACTTTCCTTCCAACTCACCAAAATCAATCCTTCAAAAATCGGAAGAAAAGTGGATGAAAAATTAATTATTTATATTAAGATGTATCTTACTTGTCTATATGTANCTAGGGGTAGATATCTTGTATCTGCGTCCAAGAGCGCCTTGCTTATATAGTAAATCAGCTTCTGGTGGTGCTCATGCTCACGGATAAGTACCCCGCTTACCGCAAACTCAAATACTGCCAGGTACAAGAACAGCATCTCCCCCTGGATGGGGACGGACAAGGTCGAAAGAGTCCTTAGGTATTCCTTGATTCCAGCTNACATAGTAATAAAAATGGTAAATAATAAACATATTTGTATTCATATTTAATCAAAATTACAAATATAGAGAATAAATAAAAAAATTTAAACATCGATTTGTAATGGAAGGGAGAGGTGGTGGGCGACAATGATGGTGGTAGGAGGCGGTGATTGTTGTGGTGGGTGTTAATGACTGTGGTGGCGACGGTAGCGATGGTGGCGGTGGCGGCGATGGCGATGAAGGTGGCAGCACGGGTGATGGCGGCGACGACGGCAATAGTGATGGTGGTGGTAGAGGTGGTGGTGAGATGATTTCAAACACTATTTTTTAAAAAAAAATATTTATGAGAAATATTTTTAAAAAGTCAATTTAAACACACCTTTAGGGACCTATTTTTTTTATTAAATTTAGGGTGTTAATATTAACCATTAGATTAACTTTAAAGTAAAATTTAAAGTGATCTCAACCGCGAATAGCAAAAGTCATTTTTTTTATCTTTTGAAATTTGAATTGTAAGTTTCTTTATTATATAAATATTATGTATACATTAATTTCATATAAAAATACAATGATAAAATATGTATTCTTACATTAAATTTTTAAATAAATTTAAAAATAAAAATAAAAAATAAAAAATAAAAAATAAAAAATAAAAAAATAGAATACTAGTGTTACATTTTTTATTCAAAATGTATGTGGATCAACACAAATACGAACATGAAACGAAAATAAACAGGTTAACTCGCAACTCGACACGACATAATTAGTTAAATAAGTTGAGTTAGGTTTAACTAATTTTTGATACAAATCCGTAATGAATTAACACAACATGACTCGATTATCACTCCTAATCTTAGCCAACACAAAAAAAAAAATAGTTATTTTTATTTTTCATCCATTCAACCAAACACAAAGGAAGGAAAATGTATCATTCCTACTTTCATTCTTTGAAGTATAAAAAATGTATTCTTTTTACTTTCTATCCTTCATATCAAACAGAGCAAAATTATTATAATAAAGTCTATTATACCCACCTATATAATTTCATCTAGTTTATGTTTTTTACACATATTTGACTTTTAACCTATTTTGAACTCTTTTATAAAGATTTCTAAATTCTTTTAAACTCATTTATTAGTAGTACAAAGATTTTTTTATTTTTTTCTTAATTATTTTGATAAAGTTTATTATATCCATCTATATAGTTTCATTTAATTTATGTTTTTTACACCTATTTGACTTTCAATTTATTTTGAATTTTTTTATAAGGACTTTTAAATTCTTTTGAACTTATTTATTAATAGTACAATTATATACAATTATTTATATCTGTATGAAGAAGTAAAATTTTATATATGTTAAATTATTATACATATATAGTCATCAAGTTGAATTTCATAGTTCAATATATGTTATATTTTATTTTTTGGTATTAATAATATAATAATATTATAAGTGATCTAATCAATCTATTTATAAAATAAAAAATAATAATTATATAATATAATTAGATATACAAATGTTTAAAAGAGTTGAAGAGATATCTAAATAAATGATAAATTAGGTATTTAAAAACATATATAATAAATAAATAATTAAATTTAATAATAATTAAATATATATTAATTATATGATACCTAATTTATTATTTAATTTAATTACACTATAATTTATATTTTTATAAAAATACTATTATTTAAATTTATTTATGTGCAATGCACATTGTGCATTACTAGTTATATAAAACATCACTTACACCCATTCTAGTTTATATTTAAATATCACTTACACTTTTACTATTAAACCATCATCTCTAAAAAAAAAATCATCTAAAACACCAAAATTATCCCTACATAAAATCCCAGATAATCTTTTTACAT